CCACATGTTTGATACCAAACTCGGGAGCCGGCGGAGGCTTCCAACTCGGCCTCAGCACCCATAACAGCACGCATCCCAAACATGCTTAATCCTTGGACCCTTCATAGCAGGGGGGTGGGACGACTTGGCGTGGCAAGGGGTCCGAAAAAGGGTCCGAAGCCAACACTTTTCTCTTTGCCTTCGGGCCCCGTGCTCCGGATCGTGCACGCGCGTGCTGTGCACGAGCTCGCGCGCGTTCGAGCTCGCGACCTCGCCCCCTCGCTCCGCCGGGGGCTGGCACGCAGCTCGGCTCAGATGGCGGCGCTGAAGATGTCGACCTGCTTCGAAGGGTCCTTCACCCTGCCGGATTTAGCGGCCAGTGAGGGTTCTCAGAGGGTGTAAGGAGATGGGTGAAGGAGGTGAAGGGTGAAGAATCTCCAACAAATTACTCTCTCTTCCCGGAGAAACGGAGATTCGGTGAGGTACTTTCTGATTGACCAGCAGGCCTTTTCAAACAAGGCAACTGAGAGACAAACCAAACCAATTCTTGTAGAACAAGTTCAATTGTGAGGCTCGTTTTATTGCCTTGGACAGTTTTTGGAAAGAACTGTGACATACTGTGACTAAACTGTTTGACGGCGCAGAGGTTTGAGAAACGTTGACATCAAGGTCTGGGTCCTTCATGGTGCTTCAAAGCGGCATGAATTGCATAGTACAAACCATGCTTGCAAGCCAACAGCTAGCTTTGACCACGGAGGTCTTGAGCAATTTTGAGATCTCCAGTCGTAGCATGATCCAAACAGTTCTTACCCTACCACCATGGCATACCATTGGCCCCGTTTTCGCCTGAAAGAAAATCACGGTCACATCCATACACATCCTGAGGCAGTTGTTCGCAGTGGGGCGGAGCGACCCACTTCGATCTCCTGCGGCTTTTCAGAGCCACACGGAAGTTGGTGAGCAGAGGTTTCATTGACAAGGCGCGGGATCGGGCGGGGATACCAGGCGGAGACTCTCGGCAGCCTGGTTTTCGCGGAGGTGCAACAGAAACCACATGGCACGCAACGCACGGCCAAGTTCTTCCGGGGCACGGCACAGCGCAGGATTTGAGACGCTGGGTAAGCCACCAGGGTTTGAAGCACCAGGATTCGAGAGCCTGTACTGTTAAGTGACCTGAGAGCTGCGGAGTCTCAAGAAACCAAACTCTCAACGGACATCGACCCAAATCCTACACCACTTATCTTTTTGCCAATACTAAAAATATATATATATATTACTGTAATACATTTAGTATCATTTATATAGTAATACAGCAGCAGATGTCAAAGGGTAGGTAGATCACTAGATCACCCCCTCCTCCAGGTCACCTTTTTGTCACCTTCTTCTCCTTTCTTTGCCAGCACAGCTGGTAGGTCACCTGCTTCCTTCGCTCAGGTTCCGCCGCCCAGCAGAGATTCTCCACGACAAAGCGTCAACGGTGATGGCTTTGGGGTCGCTCGGTGGAGAGCTCCGATGATGGCTCCGGGTGCAGGGGCTGAGTCAAGAGGTACTGGTAAGAGGTTGATGCCATGGTTCTTTGCAGATGGGTAAGTTGACCTAGGTCCTAGCTTGGTAGTTTATGCTGATCCAAACGTTTGTCAGTTTAACCTTAGAGACCGGCTGAGCCACTTCCTTCCACAATGATCACAATCAAGGATTCACCACCCGCAGCAGGTTGTTGTAGAGGGGCTTTTTGATGTTGAATGCAAGCACAGGACATGCTTGTCATGCCAAGCAATTCAAAACAGATGGGTGTGACTCGAACAAAACGCGCCGACCCAACCCTGGTAAATAGTAACATTAATGTAACATATTTTGTTCTGGAACCATGAACCATGAATAGAAGAATCTCCTGTCAGGCACTTTTCCGTTCACATGAGACTCACATGGAACGAATGGAGATTGAGAGCTGCCGGTCTGGGACTGGTTCTCCGACCACCCGGCATGCGGGACGCGATGCTCCGACGAAAAGGAGGCGAGTGGAATCCCTGGTGGTTTCAGGAGACTGTTCGGATTCTGACCCATCTTGCGAAGGTCCAAGCTTTCGATTTTTCCCAAAGTTCGGGTGCCAGGTCCTGAAGGTGGCCTCTTTGGAGGCCAAGTGACTCAAATTTGGGGATCAAGTTCGGTCACTGAAGAACCAGGTTTCTGTTGTTTGGATCTTTTGATGGATCCTTCACTGGTGCTCGGTGTTGCATGAGGACACTCAGTACTTTGCAATGCAGAGTGCCCTGATTCGAACGGTTGGCGCGTCTATGGTCCTGGAGGACGCGCAGCTGGGTCGGTCAGCAGGGAGATGGGTTTCACATGATTTTGCTGCATATGCTGTGTGGAACTTAGATGCAACACCTAATATATAGACTCTTGATGATTACCATTCAATACCCGCCCAGACATGGATCGTACAATCTCTTCACTTGTATAGAGTAGTTTATTGATCAAACGCCTACAATGTAGATTACACTAGGTCATTAGTCAACAATTCACATCAGATGTGATGTATTTCTGTTGCTCTGTGGATCCCTCTGACTCGTTCACCGTTCTTCGTTCAGGCGCAAAAGAAGTCGGTGAAGCGAAACGCGCTGATCGACAGAGTGGGGATTCCCTCGGTCCTTGGAGTCGGTCGACGATTGACCGGTCGCGCTTGGATAGATTCTGTGTGTAGAATGGGGACCAAAGATAAAGGATATCTCTGGAAGAGAAGGAACATAGAGATTCTATCTATATCTTCTTCAAATTCATTTCGGTTTCTCTTCTTTCTCACATCCAGATAATGCATTAGAAGCATTCATAGATCAAAACCAAATTGGTTGCAACTCTCCCTATTTGAGGCACACAGGACTCACATGGAGTCGATGTGTTCCATGACCGCACCACGACACCCGAACAAACTCCGCGTGCGACAAAAGCGCAGCATCGACCGAGGTCCTTAAGCAAGACTTGCCAGATCGAATGACGGAGCTGGCTGCAAAGAAGCAGGGACCCTAAGGCCCTAGGTCGACACCTTCCAGAGATGGTTGCAATAGAGAGTACAAATTCCATGGACGGAAATTCACAGGGACAGTTGCGATGTTCAAGGTGAATCTGAATCTTCACCCGTGCATACTTTTGTCATTGGATGTCATTCGACTCGGAGCTGAATCCATTTAACCTTCAACCCCGTTCTTGCGCAACCCACTTGCTTGCGGCCAGTCACTGGTACTGGTCAGGTCAGTTCAGCACATTCCCTGGTACTACGAACGAGCACTTCGACGGATGTTGCCGTAGGCGCGACCCTTTGGAACGCCACCCCCCTGGCTGTTAGAAGTCCTGGCTGAAAACAGGACATCCTGATGCCAAATAGAACATCCTTCGGCACCTAACCAGCCATGAAACTCTCTATTTGGAGAAAGCTGATAGATTCTGATTCAGATTGACTTGAAGGGACGTTTTCCAACAAATCCTTCAGAGGTCCTGATCCTGATCCAGTGACGTACAGAAGATGAATCCAAGCGAAGATAAATAATGATCAAACGGCATCTTTCATACAATTGGGATACAATATGTTCAATACAGTCCTTGTTGAGGTTCCCAGCACAGCCTATTTTTTTTCCCATGAAGGAACACACACACACAGACGCATGCAGCAGTTTGATCTTCCGCATTCCCCGCATTCTCAGCGGGGTGACCAGGCCCCCGGCGCGTGTCAGCGCCAGCGGGTCCTGTGGGGACCGCCGATGATTCTCTTCCTGACCCGAAGGGCAATCGATGATGTTTCGCGGCGGTTGCGTGCCCAAACTCTTGCGCGAAGGAAGTGAAGAAAGGCGATGAACATGGATGTGCACTTGTTTAGACCAATTCAGAGACCTGACGTACCCAGACTGCTATTTGACTACAAAACAGTCTATGATGGTATGCAAATTGTAAAGCTGTGAACCGGACTGTGTTCTTGGCCAGTATATTTGGCATATTTTGTTTGCACTTTGGATTTACCCGAAAAAACTCATGTGCGGAGCGAGGAGCGCGCCGTCCGTTTCACGCTCAGTCTCCCATCAAAGCTTATGGCTGAAAGACTCTGCCAAAGCTGTTGAGGGCCAAAGAATTCCAGCAGCCACAAGATTCTGTCGTTCTTGTCCTCAACGAGAGACCTAAAGATCCTAAAGAAGGTGCTGCTACTTGACTTGTGTTTTTGTCAGTCCGCCGGACACTTGGATGGCTCCTTGCTGTTTGGCAGGGTGCGGTCACTCAACGCATTATTGTGGCACGCCCCCAAAGCAGGGTTGCCACACTGAGAGTCTCACCCATGGAGGTGCATTAAATCGGGGAAAACATGACCTTTCTGCCGGTGGAAACGCAGGGATTTTCTGTCTGCCATGACCCCTGCGACCCCTTCTGGGACGCCTTGTAGGGGTGTCAAAACGTTTGTGCGACTTGAGATGGGAAGTGCACGGACGCGCAATGTTTTGGGTTTCCGGTGCAGCAGCACTTCTTCCAACATGTCCGATTGACCAATCTGGAGACGAGTCCCTCAGGTGGTTTTCAATACCTACGAACAAAAGGGGTCTCAAAGACGGTCAAACGTCAAAAGGAAAATGGTGGATTCAAGTTGCATCAATGACGGACGTTTGACAGGGCACAAAGGAGACTATGAGACTATCAGGCCCATGTCCATACTCATGGCTGGACCCTCGTTGCTGTCAGTAGCTCGTGTGCACTAAGCCCTCATTCAGTTTTCCTGACGGTCATGAGTCTCCCACATTTAACACCCCTTGTGCTGGGTTCCATCCATTTGCTCATACTTCTTGGGCAAGTCACCATACACAGCATGGTTAGGTTTGGCAGCAAGCCTGCAGAATTCAGAAGTTCGAATGCCTTTACATCGGGCTGCATTGCTAATTGCAACCAAGTCCTTCTTTGTGTTTTTTCTCGGTGGACAGGCTCGCACCGCCGTTGTAAGTAAGACCAGTGGGGCTTCTAGCGGAATGATTTTCTGCTGGGGGCAGGTACAAGAAGAACTACAAGCTGGAGAAAGCGGAGGCAGAAGCACAAGAAAGCCTGAAGAAGCAGATGTGCAGTAGATGCAGATGTGCTTTTTCGATTCCCTTCCTGTCTTCCGACTCATTTTGAAAGATCCCACATTTTGAGGTTCCCACCAGTTCACACCGGGTCGGTAGGGTTTGCGAGCAGGGACATGGCTGCCAGTTTATAGCAGGGAACACTTCCAAAGCAGGGGAACTTCCAATCTCACTGATTCTTTGTAGATCGGATATCCAACTCTTGGGTATAAATAATATAGATTGGAGGCCATCGCTTTTAGGTACATATATATATATATGTATACATAGTTACATATATATAATATATACACACACACCACGTGATATTTGGGTTCAAATGAAGGTTGCATGCAAACAAATGCAGTGAGTGGGGCTTCTTTCCCCCCCCCGTGTTCATGGACGACCGATCCACTGGTACGGATCCGCGGGTAACCGCTGGTACCGTTGGGTTCACCGAAGCGGTTCAGTTCGTGGGCAACTGAGCTACGAGGTGTGGGAAACTCCTCCACATCCAGCTGTGAGATGTTCCTTCCCAATTCTTCCTTCCTTTTCTCTCTGATCGCAAGCCTTTCACCTATACTAACATCAACACAAAGATTGCGAAATGAACGTAAGCCTCCGAAGATTTGGAAAGGTGACCCCCTGGCGCCCAGCAAGACACACGAAACACGAAACACCCCAGTGCCACACGGCCTCTGTTTGGGGATCCATGCCGCTGCGCTTCAGCCCGAAAACGGCCTGAAGAGGCCGTGCTGATTCGATGTACACGGCACGCGGAAGAGAGGCGCTGGGGTGTCCCCGGGGGCCATGGTGAGAGAGCTAAACCTCGATGGGTTTCTCATGGTTCCTCTGGAGTGAAGATGTCTTTCTTTTCTGCCAAGCCTTGATGAATAAGTCTTCCCTGTGAGAAATGGTTTTTACATCCTCCATATGGATCATATGGCATATGAATGGATTCGCTCGGTCGATTTGCTGTGTCCTCCGCGCAGGAACGTCACGTGGGTTCCATGGAAAAGCCACCACTGTTCGATCCTGTCATGCAGGATCCGCTATCCACTCTGCCATCCACTCACGTGAGAGAGTGCATCCGTCTTCCAGGAGCGGGGCCTGGTTGGTGAAGTACTTGAACCACATGTCTCAGGCGGAACGTGGGACCAAACCAGAAGGTGGAACCACTGGTGGCCCGAGTTCGGCGTGGGACCTCCGTTGGACCGTGGTGGAGTTGGGATGAGGGACAGATGATATGTATTGATGTTTTTTTAAATCCAAGTCATTTGGAAGACTGATACTGTTTTACATTACTTTTTCTATGATGTTGGATCTTGATTAGTAAAAGGGGGGTCCCGTCAAATGGAGGATCCTCTATAATAAACTACTACCAAAGCAAATCTGGGTTCCTAGGAGGATTCCTTTTGTAATTGATTGTAGTATTCATTTTCCTTTCTGAAGTTCTTTGTCATTAGGTATTCTTTGCATTTCTTTGCAATCCATTCATACTACTACACAAAGGATTGATTCAGGAATTGATGGCTTTGGGAAGCTGTGAGTTTTGAAGAAGAACTTGAGACACCTATACTTATCAAATCTTATCAATACTCTCAGCAAGCCAACCATTGGCTTAGTAGCATTAAGAATTTGAATTCTATTTTTATTTTTCTTCAGGAAACAACTTTGCACAATTGAGGATCACGGGCCTTCCTGGTCTACTACCTTGAACATTTGTTTAGGAGCAACCTTTACATAAAGGATTGATTAGGGAATTGATGGCTTTGGGAAGCTGTGATTTTTGAAGAAGAACTATAGAAACCTATACTTATGAATACTCTCAGCAAGCCAACCATTGGCTTAGTAGTATTAAGATTTATGTTGTTTTTCTTCAGGAAGAAACATTGCACAATTGATGACCCTTAAAGCAAATTCATTATTGAGGATCACGGGCCTTCCTGGTCTACTACCTTGAAAATTTGTTTAGGAGCAATCTTTACATAAAGATAAAGGATTGATTAGGGAATTGATGGTTTTGGGAAGCTATCAGTTTTGAAGAAGAACTATAGATACTTATCAATACTCTCAGCAAGCCAACCATTGGCTTAGTAGTAATTACTATTTCTATTTTTCTATCGGACATATAGTGAACCCTAAATATTTTTCAGATAAAACATTAGGATCCCCCCCAAAATTGGCATAATAGAGGACCCTTAAAACAAACAGGGTGTCAAGAATTGTTATTCAAAATTTAGCACGTTATCATCCTCTGATCTGATGCGTTTACACTGTGATTTGTTGACTCCTTGGGCGGCACGACGCTCCAATCAGCGGGACGACGCGCGATGTTTATCCTCCGAAGGGCGGTGGATGGGCTCAGCAGGATCCATCCACCACAGTGCTGCGGTGCCCCATCCATCTGAAGAGGTGAACAGACCGTCTTGAACCCTCCTCTAGTTCCATCGAACAGATCCACATAGCCCAATGGCTGTGCGTCGATACTACTGCGAGTGTGCGAATGGGCCTTTAGCGCCACAGGGTGTGTGTGCCATGAGTCAAGCCACGCTGGGGTCTTTCGGTCTGAAGCAGAATTGGGTGGGTCATGGTGGGTCTAAGGCCGGTCTAAGGACCCCGTCACCTCCACGCCTCAGGTGCGGATGAAGCAGAGCAGGGACGTGGAGGTGGGAATTGACGCGGCGCCCGAGACGTGGGGGGGAGTCGGAGTTCAGGCCAGAGTGGAGCAGGAAGCACAAGGACCACAGGTTCGTTTTCTTTCTTTTTGACATTTAATGCTTTTGGCGGGGGAATCCCTCTTACGCTTGCGCAGCCCTTTAGGCGAAAAAAGGCAGAGCTTGGTTCGGTGCAAATCGTGTCAAGGGCAGCATTTGACAATGTCGGAGGCCGCAGGAGTGGTGCGAAACCAGTCGGGCTACATTGCGAACGGTGGAAAGAAGGACTACGGCCCACTGGACTTCACCGGCTGGCCTGCGTGCGGATTTGAAGCGTCGTGCGCCCTTCTTTGCCAGTGATTGGACCGATGCCTTCACGGGAGAAAACGTGCAAAAGTCGCTCTCAACACTTCTGTACCTTTTCATTGCGGCTATAGCCCCAGCCATCACTTTCCGAAGCCACTTCCTGGATGATGGCCAGGTTGGAGTGCTGGAGATGATCATATCATCGGCCATTCTCAGGGCAGCCACTGTCCGTTCTTGGGGCAACTGGCCTCTTCTTGGCATACACTTGTGGTCTACGATCTGTCAGAGGCCATGGACCTTGAGTTCATGCCCTTTTTACTTCTTGACTTGTATGTGGTGTTCGGTCTTCACAGTCCTCTTCGCTTTGTTCGACCTTTGTGCGCTGATGAAGCATGTGACCATGTTCAGCGAAGACATCTTTGCGGCCTCATTTCCCGGACTTTCATCATTTATGGCGCGAGGCCTCTCATCAACAACTTTGCCGTCAGTGTCATGCCACTGACAAATTGCATGCTGGAGGCGTTGTTGAACCCCCCATAAATCGTGAATCCCAAGGGTATCGATTCAGGGTGTCTTCTTTTACATGGGCATTGCGTCCCTCACTGGCAACAACCGGGAGCCAAAGAACTACTGTATCCTCAGTACAAGTACATCCAGAAGTTGCCCTTGAAGCGTGTGCACCTCTACATCTTCGTTCAGCTCATTTGCATGGGCATTCTCTATGGTCTGAAAGCCATCAAAGAGACTTCAGTTGCGTTCCTCTTCTTCATGGCTTCCCTGGCCTTCATTCGCAAAGAACTGAAGCATGTCTTTACACCTGAAGAACTTGACCTTCTGGATTCTTACCCTGAAGATGATGACTTTGAGGAGGAAGTTCTTGGGCCTGCGCCAGACTTGGAGAATTTTGAAAAGGATGCGGCGTCCCAGGCAGCAAAGGGAAGAACGACAGAGTTTTTTGAGAGGATCTGAACCAGACAATTTTGATTCCAAGCCGGCTTGCTCTTGACTTAAAGTCCAGAAGCTGTGTTTGTGGATATGATTGGACTGTTTGGACAAGCACGGATGTCGTTGGCTTAAAACATGCCACCGTAGCCATGTGCCTTGTTGTGCCGCCTTGGGCGCGACATGCATTCTTTTGTGATCACGAAAGGTAGCCCTTTAGGGGATACCTTGAGTTTGTCTTGCGAAGCAAGTGTTGGGACGTCCGGGTCTAATAATTGATCGCTCAATTCAGACCCCCCCCCCTCGAATTGATTTTTCAATACAGACCCCGCCCCTCCCCCCCTCTAAAATCAATTCTCTCCTGGAGAACGTCTTCGTGAGCCTCTCATGATTTCAGGATAGTTGAAACCCTCTTGAACACTTAGAAAGAGTGAATATGAAATTCTAATTACGAAAGGTGTTCCCCGAGGGGATACGTTTTGTGAAGCACGTCAATTCTCTCCTGGGGAGCGTCTTCGTGAGCCTCTTATGGTTTCAGGATAGTTCAAATCCTATGATGTTCCGATTCAATGCTCACCGATGATCTGAGCCATGGGGCAAGTTTGTTTTCCTAAGAATCTTTTTGAACATTTCGAGAGCACATGTTTGAACATTTAAAGTGCATATGAACATATATTTACGAAAGGTCGCCTCCGAGGGGATAAATCACCATGTCGAACATTGCATTTTTGTTCCTGCCTCTCGCGTTCTCTTCTCTTCCCGCTGTCCTACCTTTCGTGTCTCCCTCCTCTCAAGTTCTTTTTGGTGCCTCTCAAATGTCCCGCAGCAGGCATCGTGGGAAAGAATGTATTTAGTCAGACCGCTATATTGATCAGCTTCGCTATGATCAGCAGAAAAGGTAAGCGCATGCGCATGTAAGCGCTGTGCGAACTGGCTGAGAGATTCTGAGAGGAATTGATAGACTCTTGTATAATCCTTCGTTCGTGGTTGTTCAAGCGATGACTTGCCTTCCGTGCCCTGCACTGCGTGCCTTTGGGGACGGGGGTCCTTGGTTTGGAACATCTGTTGGCCAGTTTGTTTTGCGATGTTTTGCACAGCAAGAACATATCATGGGGAGTAGGAGCAAACTCTTGGAACTCCTGTCAGGCGATGGAGATGATGTATGAGATGGAGTCCCTGGCCACCTTCTCCCTCCACGAGCCGGTGTGGTCGCGGGTTGGGTCGGATTTGTGTAGCTCCAGTGATGGAGTGGCGGATCGGTTTCTTGCAAGAACTTCATGGGCCAAAAATCAATTGTATGGAAATGGACCGGACCTGATACTTGCCTGGGTAAACTTGCTTTGACCCACGTGTCCTTAACACCAACCCACGAACTTTCGGGGCTGTTTTATTCATTGTGGCCTAATGTGGCCTATCAGGTCGCGGACTGGTACCCGCTTATCATCCCTCCGGTTTGGTGCAATCATTTTGTTCGACTCGTCGACCTCTCGCCGTCGAAGCAGCACCTCCGGTCGGGCCCGAAGGGTTGGGTGGAATACGAAGCACCTCCGGTAGGGCCGGAGATTCTGGTCGCCCGGGAGTCACCCGAACCCTCAAATTCTGGTACTAGGAGCAAATAGCTACTAGTAACAAGGGCATTATTCATAGCAAATGGCTTGGTCTTAATTGGGGACGCTTGGAGGTCGACACCGAAGGGCGGTGCGAAAAGAGCACGGTCCAGCCCTGGGAGTCGAGCCCTGGTCGCGCTCTCGGCTCAGGGTGCTTCGGAGTTCTACGAAACCCTCTACCGCTGAGCACTGAGCTGGGTGGAGCGCTTTCGTTGATTTAAAACTATGAGTGATTAGGCAAAACCCGGATACCTTGGACTTAGCTGGGAGGTCAACCTATCAGGGTGAAACGAGCTCCGTGTTGACCCAGATCCGTTTAAGAGACCGTGAAAGGACGTTTTTGTTGGAATGCCTCAGGCAACATGAGCTCATCCCTGCGAAGGATGGGACGAGAGGAGATGGGAACACATTCTTTTTTGGAATGGTCTCGTGAGCTCCAACATTTGCCAATCTGCCTAGCGCTTCCAATGGGTGTCCTGTTTGGTGACCGGTAAGCAGTGTAGGGTTTGTCCAGCCAGGTCACGCCTTGGAAGCAGCTGGTAGCTGGTGGAGTATCGGGAATTTTGTTGGCGGTTCTTCGGCGCCAAAGGGACTGGGCGTGGTCTTCCCCCGTCCGTCGACAGGATGATGCTGCGGTGTACTTCCTCAAGATGGCAGAGGTGGGACGAAGAAAGCCACCTTGTTGTCTCACAATGTCTACCAGCACCCGACTCTACAGGTCTCCTAAATGGTGGCCTTGGAGACTTGAAAGTTGCAGGTGGTGAGTGGTGACCTGTTGCCGGGTCCAGGTATATGCCTTTCTGAGCGTCCAGAGTTTACATTCCTCCCCTAGGTGAGGCTTTCATCCTTCCGCGACTTTTCATCCCTAGACCTCCACCTACATCCGAAAAGAAGCTGGTTGGGCGCCAGGGGGTTCCAAAGAATTCCTCAGACCTTTCAAGGTGACCTTTCTATCAGATGTGGGCCAGGCGGCCGGTCGCCCAAATAGGCAGACCAACCGTGTCCTTTTCCGATCCCACCGACCGAGCGACGAGGCGTCCCGGTATCACAAGAAGCAACTGGTCCACGGCCCAGTTTCGGTGCCGAGAGGAGCGAAGAATCGCCAAATGACGTACGAGAATGGACCCATGATGAATAGTATAGTCAACCAGCACTGCTGTTAGAAGGTACTTACGTCGAATTCCTGAACCACTGTTTGAAAGCTGACATATTTATACATATTCTTCATCAGCTGCAACATCATCCAAAGGGTTTCACCCAGTTTCATCCAACCAGTCCGAGTCACCCGTCCGAGTCACCAAACCCGAAGCCCCGGAAACCCCCCCGTCCGCTGAACTCGCCCGGGCTGCCCGAGGATTGGATGGACCTCTGGGACCTCGGAATTCTCATCGCCAATCGTGCCTACCAGGCCTCCAGGCCACCGGCGCGATGCGCGACCACCTCGGGAGGTCTTAGATGGTCGGAAGGGGGTCTTGGTCTTATGGCCCTGGTTTCCTACGATTGGGTGTGAGGGCGAGAGGTGACTGGGCCGGGAAGGGGGGGTTTGCGGAGGAGGTCGGAGGTTCCGGGCCCAGCAGGTGGGAGGGCCCAGCAGGTGGGAGGAGTTCTACAAGTCTCGGGAGATCATTGCGGAGGCGAGATGGATGGAAGGGGAATGGGAGATGATGGGAGATTCAGGGAAGATCTGTGATGTCCAGCCTGTGTTTCTTCCTTTTATCTAAAAAAATGTTTTTTTGTTTTTAAATCCTTTTTCAGTAGCTCTGTGGTAATTACAATTTAGTTACAAGTCTTGAGGGATTGCTACAGACCAGCTTCTCATTGGCAATGCTATGTGCTACGTATGTGATTTTGACGATCCATGATAAGGCTTGCAATTGAAACCACGGAGAGTGCAATGAAAAGAGGGACACATGGTGACCCATGATCTAAGTGATGTGTCATTTCATTCGAGAAGACTCACTTTCTGGTTCCTGCACCACCGAGACTCGAAGACTTCGAAGATTTTGCTCAAGCAAACCGAGCCTCGACCCCACGAGACTTGAAGAAGTTCAAGTGCCAGGGTCTGCAAGTGGATTGTTGGCTGTGACGTATTGGTGGGGGGGTGGTGTTTGCAAGTACCAGACGGATCGACTCAGGTGAGATGATGTTCTCTTGCTTTGCATCTGCGCAACTGCTTGAATCGGGCGTCCCCAAATAATGCAGACCATTCAACAACGAAGTTCCGTTTCCATCCACTTGCGGTGGAACTGGACAACCCCTAGAGTGTGCAGGAGGCCATAGGCGGCCAGTGTGGCCATTTTCATTCACTTTCCACTTCATTGGCGTCTTGATGTGTCACGTGACTTGGAGCGTGCCGTGGGCGCCAGTGTGGCCTTCACATGGCCATCCAGAACTCCCAACGCCCACATCGACGGACAGAAGAACCGAACACCCGGGCCGGGCTGAAAAAGCCACCAGGGCGCCTCTGCAAAATCGGTCCATGATGGTCCATGGTGTCAGGACGGGTACATGCGGTCCTGTTCTTGTGTTTGGACAGATAAGGACAGGTCCTTATCAAACAGTCCTCAGATTGTTCAGGTTTGCGTCAGACACTGTTCATCCGTTTTCATGTTCATTTCGTGACCCCTTCGGAAACGACCGACCCCTTCCACCGCCGGGGTGAACGACCGGTTCACCCGTGACCCGTAGATGGCCGAGGTGAGCAACGATGGCCGAAGGCGGAGAGGCACCTCAGCACATTCAGCTCAAGGCAGCGATCATCAGCGATCCCTTTGGGCGATGGCCTCCAAGCCTAGTAGCGATGCCAGGAGCCCCTAGTAGCATCCTTGCTCCTAGTAGCCATGGCCTCCAAGCTAATGGTTCACCACAGCCTTCACGGCACCTTTTGGGGGCGTGTTTGCTGGCGGGGTGGGTGTTTTAATTTTTTTTTTTTCTCAGTGTGTGCGATTTGGGTGAGGGAGGCCCAAATGAGACGAATAAACACTTCTTTGAGAAGTTCAAGGGCCAGTTGCTGGAGGGTGACACGATGTGAAAACACCCGAAGACCTTGGGCTTGTGCGCAGGTGAAGGACCAGCAGGGGAGCGAGGTCCAGTTCAAGTGGCTTGGCAAAGCGGCGCCGCTCGAGGTTTTCTTTAAGACGGACGGACGGCTACTGTTGATTGAGGCGGACTTGGTGTTCTGGGCTTCTTCAGCTCCGCACCACTGGGCTTCGGTGCCGATTTCGTTCGCAGCGTTCGCAGTTCGCTCGTCAACTGTGCTCTCGCTTAAGCTGACCAGGTCTCCCAGTGGCTGAAAGAAGGGTGTGTCACTGGCAAGAGGTGAAGTTTCAGGGGCATAGGGTTGCGAAGTTCCAACCCCCACCCTAGAAGTAACCAGTCATTCCTCCAAAACCCACGATTTCCGCAGTTTCCTGGTCCGGCTCAGGATCAAGAAAACGACGCCCTTGCGCAAGTTGTGGGGTGCCTAGCAGTGGTACCGGGATGGCACTTTTGCGTTTCCACTCAAGGCTTCCTGCAGAAAAAGTGTCCTGCCAGGGCGAGATGTCTGGCTGGCGCGTTTTTTCAGAGGCTCAAACGCGTAAGGGCCAGAAGGGCCATGGCGGGCCGCGAGGCGGCGCTGCGAGAGATGCGGCTCAAGGAGGAACCGGAGGAAAGCTCAGAGAGTGCTGCTTGGTAGATGGATTTTATGTGAGTGATTTCATGTTTGTATTTGGACTGATACAAGTAGGACCAAATAGGTATATATACATATTATAAGTATCACTGTCACTGAAAAACTCTGCCAAGAACCGGAGTTTTCTTTCGACAGTGCAGCTGTTTGTGATTTGTGAGCACAAGCTAGAACTGAAGCCTTGGAATCTGGAAGAGGGATGGATGGAAGGTTACTTAGGAACAGGGATATCCCTTAGAATTCCTCCAGGAGAAAGAAACAGTGGTGGAGTGGACTCCTCTACCATTTTCCTGAAGTATTTCCATTGTTCTAGTGCCTGGTGCTGATCATGTCAGCAAAACCATTTCTCTTTTGAGATCTATTTTCTTCGTGCTGTGAACCAACCTTCCCGAGCAAACATGTTGATGTACAAGAAACCTGCAACACCACTGACGGTGTGAACAAGAGAGCGGAAGTTCAACCTGGGTTATTGGTATCTACAGTGACGACGGTATTTGAACATGCAAATCATGTCGTTGTTAATCCGATGAACCCACTCCTAGCCACAGGACAAGACCGTCACAAAACCGAATCCAAGTCTTGAAAGTAGAAACAACCAAGCGACCAACCAGCTATATAATGCTATATGCATACCCAAGTAACCACTTACTGAATGAATCAATGAAACAACCTATATAATCAATGAATCTGTCAATGGAACAATCAACCTTTCTTAATTTATTGAGCCAAATTAATCATATCATATCAATCCAATCGCTATTGGACCAATGAAACAATCCAATTACTGTAATCCAATCACTCCTGAACTTTCTGCCTTGTGAAGACTTAATCCCTCGTCCGCCCAGGACGAGGACGCATCCCAATGGAGAGCTCAGTTGGCTGGAAAAGCCAAGGTCGTAGGAGGAAAGGGCCCGGCCCCTTGGGCGGAAAGTCGTCCACATCACCAGGTGAGTGTCTGTCGGGTTCAAGATTGGTGTAGGCGTAGGGAAGGAAGGGAATTAGATCCAAGAATAGATTGGGCCAGATGGAATTTCAGGGTCAAGATGAGTTGCTGCACCTACATGCATTCATGTCTTAATCATGCAGTGTCAGCATGATTTCATCTGCACCGGCCCCTTCCGCCAGCGTCAGCGGCTCAGGTGAAATGGATTCTTCCATTCATCCTCGTGGGCGTCAGTTCCCTCATCTGCATGTGGTTGCTTCATATTGCCACCTTCTACTACGTGAAGGGCATCCTACGCTTTGAAGCAGCGTCCCTTGCCGTTTGAAAACTGGCCGAAGACCCGTTGACCGACGCGCGCACCAGATTGGCTCAAGAAAGGAATCATACCATATGATATCTTGTTTCTAGTAGCTTCTTGCTCCTAGTAGTAAGGCCAGGAGCCCCTAGTAGCATCCTTCGCTCCTAGTAGCGATGCCCTTTGCTCCTAGTAGCGTTCTTGTTCCTATGTGCATACTTTGTGGTGTGGGGTATATTTAGTTCACCCGCATGCAGCTTCGTCATCCTTCGTCTTTTCAAAAATGGTTGGATGCGATTCAGGGATGGCCGCCTGGTTGGTCTTAATAATGGTGTCATAACTGTTCTGAGGTTCAAGCCAAACCCTGACTACAAGGCGCACCGCGGTTTTTTTCTCATGGGCGGTCGTCAGCAGCTCGCTCGTCCATTCTCGTGCAGGAGGATGCAAGCACACAGCACTTCTTTTCGGCTGGTCTGACGCCAGACAGCGTCTCCTATGGATCTTTGCAGGAGCTGAATGGATTGGATTGCTTCAAGTGACTGTCTCTGAGACTTTGGATATCATAATATAGATATGATTATCATATAGATATCCCATGCTTATATAGTATATATGTATATAATGTAATGTGATGTTGTGATGTTACATATTACATAACATGTAATATGATGTAATATACCTAGTAATGCAATATAGATCTTGTATGGACAGAAGAGGCCGCCCGCCAAAGCAACGGGGTCCTTCCTTGTGTTCCTTCACTTGGTCAGTGCAGGACCCCATTGAAGCGCCTGGAGCCCGAGCCCTTCCGCGGCCGTTGGAGCTCGCCGCGCGCGGCGGGGGCTCTTCGACGAGTGGGGGACCGTTAGGGCACTGCACGGCTTTGGAAGACCATCTTCTTGTTTCTCTTGGGATGGTGAATAAACATGAATACAATCATTGTAAGTCCATAGAGTTTTTGATGTGGAGTGAGGTTGCGGTGTGTTCACAGAAGCAGATGCGGGACCACACCGGGACGCGTCCGGGTGACATTCGTCGGCGTCCCAAGGCAGCTCGGCTTCAAAGACGTGCCGCTGAAGGCGCTGGATGCCGTTGCATTGGTGTTCCCCTTCCTGTGGTTTTGTGCGGCCGGGAGGCTCAGGATTTTATTTTTTTTTGTTTGCAGGGAAAGGAAAGCTGTTCCTTGCTTTGGGGATGCCTTGAAGATGTCTGTCCTTTTTTTCTTTGATCTGGAGTGAAACGATAATCATGTTGAATAGTATGACTGATGACCTTTAACTTCCAACCAACCCATTGCCAGCCTTTCCCCAAGGATTAGGGTGAAATTCAGTGGCATTTCGATGCATTGAGAACAGCCGCTCGGACCGAGTTCCGCCCAGGTGCTTTATCTCCAGGACGTCCAGGCCTGGACGAAGGTCCTCCTCTGCCACTCCGTCCGGGCGCCCGAATGCTCCGGACTCGTGGCGGTCGCTGGCGGTCGACTCGTTCGTCGGTCGGTCTCGACCGAGGTGCTGGCTGTTGGGAAGGGGATCTTTGGGGCGACCACCATCATCCCCGACAGCATCGGATGGGCCAACTGCAAGGCGGGTGAGAAGGGGAATGAAAAGCAAGTGGCAGGAAGAAGGAAGAAGGAAGAAGGAAGAAGAAGAAGAATAAGAAGATAGATGCTGCAAGAAGATGTTGGTTTGCCTCAGTGGCCCCACCGGGCTTGGCACCTTAGAAGTCCCAA